TCACTGTAACATATCACGTACTAATAGTTTTTAAGATATTTACTGGTTAATGGGGGTATATTTTCCCACGCGCGTACGCCTGCACGGAGTTTAACAGTTAATAACTTTTGATATAAAAGCCGCCGCACAGTGTGGCAAAAAAGGTTGCTGTGGACTAGTCAATTTTGATAGCCCAAACATGAACCAATTTCAAATTAATTATTTTTTTTTTTTAATATTTAAGAGAACACTCGTTGCGTTCGATAACAAAATTAGCCAACACCAGCCAAGAATCAAAATCAAGAGAGTAAGCGAAAATTCTCTCCCAAAGAGATGAAAAAGCAAAAAAGTAAACGGACAGGAAATTAGCCATTACTTGCAAAAACCGGAAGAACAAAGACACACCAGCTGACCTTGTTTATGTTTTCATGAAATTCATGTTGCCTCCATAGAGAAAAAAGGAAAGTGAACGTTCAATGTTCGCCAGGAACATTTCTAGAAGTAAAAACTAGTTGGCGCTATCATAAAGTCACATAGCAGGCAGCCAAAAAACATATAAATACCAAAACTCGGAAAATGCAATTTTGTTTGTTTACAAAAATTGCAACCATATGTTTTCGTGTTGGATAATTTTTGCTGACTAAAATTTTGCCAGTACAAAATGAACGCTTCTCTTGCATCAAAATGAACGATTTCTCTCTCAATTTTTGTGTGTTGGATAATTGTTTGTCGTTATCGAACGCCATCCAGTAAAAATTTGGAAAAACTATTACAAATTTTTGACTTGTCGAACGCACCTACTGATTCACAAAATTTACCTTAATAAAAGTTTAATGAAATTGAAAGGGTTATTTTGTATCTACATCTAATCTGTAACTAATCCACATTATCAAAATAATTCAGTCACCCTGTTTTATTGCAAAAGCATTTAGGTAAAATATAATGAAAAACGCTTGAAAACTGTATTTAATGAAGAAAAATAAATAATATTTTAATTTTCTTTAGGATTTTCGGGAATATTTAGCACCAGGTACATCTCTTTTTAGTGACCAACAGTAGTCAGCTAACATATTTCCATTTGCCCTGGTACCATTTTTCTATGTTAGATATATACTGCTGGAACCGCTCGGTTTGTTCGTCTCTAATGGCAGCCACATTCTCAGGAAAAAATTTAAATGTGAGTGTAAGAATTTTATCTTGAGCGACATATTGCATCCCATATTCTTGTAGGCTGTTATAAGGCTGCTGGCGAACTCTTCATAGTTTTCGGCTTTGTGGTTTCCAAGAAAATTACAACATTTCGAAACAAGTCCATGCGGATTTTTCGACCGGATTCAGTTTTTCTTCAAACTGTTCATCAGCCAATAGGCCTCTAATTAGTGGCACTACAAATTTCCCTCTTTTATTTTGGCATCGCTGATTTTTGGGAAGTTTTCTTTTTTCTGTTTTTCTTTTTACTACGACATTGACTTTTAACAGTTAGTTGGCCTCAAATATAACAAAAGTTATCAGGATAATTTACATACGCTCTGGACATCTTCTTACGATATGTTCGTTTATGAAAAGCCACTTTGGTAAGCAAAATACGATTAATCACCTCAGTCAATTTTTAAGGAAAACTGAGGGTAATTGAATAAAAGTAAGTATGAGGTATATGAAAAAAACAACTTAATTTTGTAAAAAAAAAAAAACACTGTTTATCAGTGTAATTAAAGTTCGCGTCGGTCTATCAGTGGCGATTCCTTAAAACAGCTCTAGTTTTTTTATTTATTGGCGTTGAAAAATCAAAGAAAACAATTTTACAATTGAATGTTTCTAATCTTTTTAAAAAATACTTGAAATTCATTTCAAATGCCAGCAATTATTTAAAAAATTATTCATATCACATTTTTTATAGGCTACATTTAATTTAAAAAAGTATATATTTAATTTGTTATATATATTCGGTAATATACAGTGTTGGAAAAAATTATAGAAACATACAGCTTTCATATATTTTTTATTGTCTGAAGAACTCTTTAATTTTAAACACATTCCGGTTTCGTACATTTCGTTTACGTTAATTAAAATCTAGACTTCTTTTGCAAGGGCAATAAGCCATAAATAAATTGTGGCCCCTTTTTTAATTTTGGCCTGGAAAATATTATAGAAACAAAGTATTATTTTTAAATAAACTAAGCTTTGAACAAAAAATTCTTACAAAAATATTGTTTTAATAGCTTATTGAATCGCCGCTTTGCCTGATTACCTCTTCGCATATTCGGTGCCGCGAATTGACGAAGTTTACACAACACTTTTCGGAATGGAATACCACGATTTTAGAATGTGGCGCCACAATTCGTCTTTATTGCTGGCTTTAAAAGGCCCGATTCTCTTCTTTAAGTCCGCCCAAAGGTGCGCAATAGGATTGAGGTCTGGCTATTGTGGCGGCCACTCCATAGCCTGCACTGTTTCCTTCTTTAACCACTACTTTACCAGTTTTGATGCATGTTTAGGATCATTATCCTGCAGTAAATGCCACCGCAATGGCATTTCCTCTTTAGCATAGGAAAGCCTTATCATTTGTAATATGTTTACATAGTCAAGCGCTCACATTTTGTTCTTAATCCAAAGTATTGGACCAACTTCTTCCTTCGGGAAGCAGGCCTATACCATAATGGAACTCCCGCTGTGCTTAACCGTTTTCTTTTTCGTGTATTGTGGATCAAAGGCTGTGTTCGTAGGACGTTTTACGTACTATTTTCCATCTGATCCAAACATATTACTCTTTGTCTCATCAAACTGCAGCACATTTTTCACCATTTTGACGAAAAAGATGTTTTCTGGCAAAACCAAGTCTGTTGTTTTTGTTT